GAGGAAAGAGCTTGGGGGAGAGTGGGCCTTACTGAGAAGGGGTCCCTTTTGTGGCCAAAGGCCAATAGAAGGACACTGGGTACCTCAAGAAATGAGAGAAGACATCACTATACAAGGCCTAAAAGAAACCTGGAGAGGATAAGGGAAATTAAAAAGAAAGTGTACATCCTACAGTTTCGAGTGGGTGACCCTAACTTCTCAACCTTGGCACCACTGACATTTTGGGTCATATAATTCTTTATTATGGGGGACTGTCTTATACTGGATGTCCTGTGCAGGATAAAGATTAATGACTCAGTTGGAAAGTAACCAGAGAAAAGCTCCCAGTTGAAAGGGTTCCAGAAAAATAAGACATTTCCTCAAGAGGATAGCTAGTCTAACAATATTATAGGATGTTTAGCATGTCTCTGGCTTCTACCCATCATTAGGCCAGTAGCAACCCCCTTTCCCCACAGTTGTGATAACCAACAGTGTGTCCAGACATTGTCAAATAACCTCTGGCAGGTAGGAAGACAAAATCACCTCTGTTGGACAACCACTGCCCTAAAGGATGAATTTTCTCCCTAAGTTGGACAAGACCTTTTCCATTCCTTGGTGGTAGACTGGTCCACCCTTCCTATTCTCCTGTTCCCACTCTAAAAAACTACACAAGAGTGGGAAGATTACAAGCTCATCAACACGAAAAAAGAATGAGAACTCTGTTTTTTAGTTGTAATACTCAAAGCAGAGAGATATATCAGGAAGATCTGAAATGAATGCCTTTTCCTTCAGAATATTTTTATCCTTTGATAATTCCAAAATTCTTGATCCCATCTTTATTTCCAGAGCTATCTTATTCTTTGTGTATTACACAAGACTAGTTTCAAGATGAGCTGTCTAGTAAGACTCAGAAAGGTTTGCCCAATTTAATCAGTGCTTATGTGAGTAAACCAAGAAAGGCATTAGTCTAGATAAATAATAAAGACACTTTGTTATTCATGAAAATTAAGTTATTTTTGTAATCAGAGAGATAGAAGAATGGACTTCTAACATCTTGGCTCATATAAACCAAACCCTTTTCCTTCCCTTCCCTCTGCCCTTTCTATCCTTTCTTTCCTCCCTTCCTTCTTCCTTCCCTCCCTCTCTGCCTCCCTCCCTTCCTTCCTTTCTCTTTTCTTGTAGGTATAACCATGCTTTCCTCTAGAATAGGACAGGATATGAGAAGGACAGAGATTATGAAGTATTAACTAGAAAAAAAACACCATCACTGGAAGGAAAATTATATTAATGAGTTCAGAAGAATATAAAGTGCTGCACCAACACTTTATCAAGAGTGTAAACTATGCAAATGGTGCAACTGAGTCATCAGTGAAACTGCATAATAGAGCCAGAGGCCCAGAAAATGGCAATTTCTATTTTTTCTACTGACTTCTGATTTAGGATTATTACTATACGATCTGTAGGGGAAAAGTTCCTCTTGGAGTTGAAGCTAATGAAGTGAAACTATAGAAACGCAGTTTAACTACTGAATATTATAAATTGAATAATGCAGTTCTAGATAAAGTATGAGTCTTCTCCCCTTATTTTTGTGTTGTGGCAAATTAAACCAATGGTGACTAATGTAAGAGCTAAGAATAAAAAGTCTTATCCTCTGGCCCCCTTTTGCTTCTCACTAACTGTATGACCATAAGTAAGGCAATTAATCTCTCTGAGCCTCAATTTCCTCATTTGTAGAAGTTAGGAAATTGGATTAGATTATCTGCAAGAATGCTTCCATCTCCAAAATTTTCTCATCATGGGAAAAATATAACTCAAATTATCTGAAAGTGAAAGAAAAAAAAAATCTGTGCAATTCTACCAGCTGTGGAAGGTGATTACTCTATAGCATACATAATTTCTATGCCAGACTACAGGGTTATAAAAGCAAAAATAGGCTTCTTTTATTGATCAAAGCTCTTGACTATAAAGTAACATGTATTGCCTTGGATTCTTCCTTAAATTAGAATGTCCGTGATTAATTTTCAGATGGGGTTAGCACATTGGAGAGTCTGCTGGGTACAGTGTTGACAATGTCACTTGTTACGCTATGGCAGGGTGCTCTTCAATAGCAAAGAGGGGCAGGGATACAGAAACAAAACAAATTCAGAACTTCAAGAGCTCAGTCACAAACATCAGAGAATGGCTCTGCAGTGGTGTTTCAACATTTATTCTGGAAGGCCTACTCCTGTAAGTATGTGAATGTCTGTTTCTAAACTTCAGAGAAAATAAATCCCAAGCTTTATCAGAGATATAAAGTCCTACTCTGGTCTTATGAGAGCTCTTGAAAAGGTACTGCCTAGATGCCTTCAGCCATAAGGCAAACCCACATCATAGAGGAGTCAAGCCTTCTTCAAGCCTTCTGTTCAGATGCTAATGCTAAAGGGCAGAGGGAAAGATTCAACGAGGAAAAATTTAAACATTCATTGCCTTTACAGGAACCCTAAACATGTGCTGGCCCTGCATGGTTTAGCATAAAATGTTGTGTCAAAGATCACCTGACTCTGGAGGACAAAGTAAAATCCACTCATATTCCCAAGAAAATCCAACTTTTATGTATGGATGGAAATCCTCAAATTTGCAGACCTACTCATAGTAGGTAGAAAATTTCAGGGCAAGAAAGTCTCTCTTCTTTAAATGGAAGCATAGAAATAGTGGTGCTAGCTGGAAACGCTGGTGCATCATTAAGGAAACACATTCCATCACCTGCCAGATCATGAAATTCCTGGCTCTGGCTCCTTAGGCAAAAAATCATGGCCTGAACAGCTTTTCCTAAGGTGACTTTGGCCTTCCTTGGTATTCCTACAAAGGGACACTTCATTTTTATCATTAGATACTTTGAAATCTTAAGGGGAAATTCTCCATAAGTAGTCCAAAAAAAAAAAAAACACCCCAGCAATTTGTGGGATTTTATTTGGAAAGAAAATACACTGGGAGAGGTAAAGCCAAAGCAGAAGATGCTCTGTAAGGGATGACAGCTGAACTAGTCCTTGGATTTACAGCCAACAGACAGGCTCAGGATGGAAATGAATCTCTTGAAAATACCCTCCCCCAAGAAACACTCCTCATTCAACACTAGGTCAAATCTTGTGTCGTGTACTCTTCCTTACTTGTCTCTAACACTTTTTAAGATTGTAAGAAAAACAAAAAGAATCACTAGGAAGTACAAAAATATACAAAGCTTTTTAAGTCTCTAATGCCGAAGAATTAGCAGACTCCTTGAAAATTGCTAGCATTTTTATTTTTAATGAGTACATCTCAAAATATCACTCAAGTAGTTTTATCTTAGTTTTTTTGTTTTGTTCTGTTAGCCATTACATTGGAATGCAGATTTATTGATATTACCAATATTAAGGCAAACTGTTTATTTTATTCTTCATGTATTCACTAAGACTTGTTCTTTTATATTCCTTTTTTGTGTTGAAAAATATCTCCATAGTGCTCCATCAGGATACTTTGCCACTCAGTGTGATTATATTTTTTCTAAAGAAAAACTGCAGAATTGTTCCCATAATGTGGAAATGTTTAGGATGAACAGACAAAAAAGCAAGAATCTGTAAATCCACTGGCAACTCTATGTTAAATATATTTTCTACCTTCAGAATATCTTTGGTTCTTCTCCATAGACTGAGAAGGCAATTCTGATTACATTTTATTTTCATCATTCTGTTTTTATATAAATGCTACACTTGAATTTAGAGGAAGGACGGTCCCTTTGCTCTAACTAATAAACAGGATATCAAGTATAGACAGTCCCCACTTAGAATGGTTCGACTTACGACTTTTCAGCTTCATGATGGTACGAAAGTGATAAACATTCTGTAGTAAATGTACTTTGAACACTGAATTTTGATCTTTTTCCAGGCTAGTGATATGTAGTATGATACCTTCTTGCGATGCTGGGCAGCGGCGGCGAACCAAGTGTAAACAACCGATACACTTAGAACCATTCTGTTTTTCACTTTCGCTACAGTATTCAATAAATTACGTGAGGTATTCAACACATTATTATAAAATAGGCTTCGTGTTAGTTGATTTTTTCCAACTGTAGGCTAATGTGAGTGTCCTGAGGACGTTTAAGGTAGGCTAGGCTAAGCTATGATGTTTGGTAGGCTAGGTGCATTAAATGCATTTTCAACTTACGATATTTCCAACTTATGATGGGGACATAAGAGTAAAAATGACAAGATAACACTTTAAGTGCTCTCCAGTTTTATGACTTTACATGTTTTTCTAAAATATGGTATGTATATGTTTCTTCTATTTAAAAAAAAAGCCAAAAGAATGTTGTATTTCACACCCACATTTCTTCAATCCCCATAGGCTGCAAGCTACTCTGTTAGCACCACTTTCTTTCATATTCTACAGAATATGAAGTGAATAGGTTGTCTTATCCTAGGACCAACTTCAGACATTACTAACACTCAAGATATCCCTGAGGAGGACTCTGGATGCTACTGATGGGAGTGATATTTCATAGCACAAACATAAGCAAAACTTCTTTGATGTAGATACTCCACTGTACTCCCCAGAGGCATGAAGACACTTTTCCCATTTCCTAGTGCTCCATGGATCTATTTCTGAAAACATTACATTATTTATGTCATTATTCCTCTATTCAAAAGTCAACTGTCATGTAAAGGAAATATTATTTAAGGGTGTTTCTCAGATTTGCCATAGAATTCACACAAGTTTTGAGTATAAATACTATTTAAGTATAAAATTAGTAAAATATTGATTTTGTTCCTCAGTTTATCTTTACATTTCTAATAGGAATTTCTTATCCAGAGCAAGGAGCTAGCCCTTTCCTTAGAACAGATTCAGAATTAACTACCAAATCAAGAAGATATGCTTTTGCTTATAACTTGTTTTGTTGTAAGGGGGCCTTTATGGCACACTTCTCCAAACACTTAGAGTTAAAAGGAACTTTTAAAAGTAAACTTAAGGCATAGAAAGATTTTATTTCACAAATAGTCACTGTTTACCTGTGCATGAATAGTCATCAATTCTGATGTATCCAGTTTTGCAGATGCACATGAAGGAACCTGGGGTGTTGACGCACATCGTGTTCTCACGGCAGTAATGGCGCCCTTCAGCACACTCGTCAACGTCTGTGAAGAAAAAGTAGGGCAAAGGGGTCAACCGTAGCCAGTAGTCTAGAGTTTCTCTATAATTTTCTTTGGTGGGGAGAGGGCAAAAGTTACTAATTGAAAAGCATTTTTTAAATGTATTCAAAGTATCTCCTTTAGTAGAAACCTTTGATGTTCAAATGACAGAAATTATAACATTTTTTCCTAAAAGCTCTTGCTGGAGTTTCAAAGATGTCTTTATATTTCAACTTGCATCATTCTAAAATACATCTGAAAATATTCAGTCCATTCATCTACCTTAGATATAATGTTTGATAAAATGAGCCAGAAAATAGAGACTGGGCTGCCTTAGAGTCTTGGACGTTTCAATCACTGAGCCGACCACATATTATTTTTTGATTCACTGGCTATTCTGTACACTTGGGGAGACCCTGCAAGAGGTAAATAGAATATTCAATACACACCAGAACTTGAAAAACTTCACTTAAAGATATGAAACCAATAACATGTAGTTTATTAGAGATACGAGTAGAGATACAGCTATACCAGTAAGTGTTGAACAGAGATGAAATTACAATCTAGAGCCTGATAGAAATGAGAAGCTGTAAAATAGAAAAACAAGATATCATATTGAAGAGCTTCCACAGTAATTCACACACCAAGTTTTGAGTGTAGAGACTTGCAAATGCTAAGCCATAATAAGCACTAGTACTAATTGGGAAGAATGTGAATTTTAACAATAAAACTGTCCCCATTTTATAGCCCCTCTCTGCCTGAAACATACAGTATTTTACAGGTATTTTATCATTATGTTATACTCTTTATTAAGGGCCTTAATGCATTGACCAGGCAAGGTGCTTCTCCTCCAGAAGTGTGCTTTCTCAAATCCTCGTGGTAAATCCACAAAGTAACATTGACCTCATTTGTACTATTAAAATAAAGGGATAAATTACAGGAGATAGTCAGGTGACACAATACTACAAAAGTCATGCCATTCATATAAACTCAAGTATGTTCTCAGTCCTGAGAGTATCAAAATAAATAGCTGACACAGTCTCTCGGGGGGTGGGGTGGGGCTATACTTTAGAGCTAGAGGGCTCTTGGCAATTATGCGGCTAACTACTTATTTTACGGATGAAAATACTGAGATTTAGAGACACTCAATTTTCCATTCAACTTCTAAATGAAAGTCAACACAGTAAATTACAAACATCTTAGCATACAAAGCCCCTCCCAGTTTGACCATTACTTTCCGGCTTTATATTCTATGATCTCACTCCCTCTTCCCTCTCAGTGTTCTGGCCACACTGAGCTTCTGGTCATTTCTTGAATGGGCCACACTCTTTCTTACTTATGTGCTTTTGCATATGCTGTTCTCTCTTATCCTTCTCTCCCTATCACCACCCGCAGTGGATCTTGTCTACCAGTAGATTCACCCTTCAAGAATCTGTTTAAATGTCTCTCTGAGAAAACTTCCCTAAGGAAGTAAAATGCTCCCTATGCTGTGCTCTCTTGGAACTTTGTAAATGTTTCCATTATAGATATATCCATTGTACCTTTATGAATTTTTGTAAGTTTCTTTTTCCAGTAAGTCAAATACACCCTTGAAGGTGTATTTGTGTTCCGTAATTCTGGCTACACATTATATTCTTTTTCCAGTAAGTCAAATAAGTTTCTTTTTCCAGTAAGTCAAATAAGTTTCTTTTTCCAGTAAGTCAAATACACCCTTGAAGGTGTATTTGTGTTTCTTAATTCTGGCTACACATTATATTCATGTGAGATGCTTTTAAAAAACATTAGTTTTTGCACCAACTCCCCAAATCCCACTCCAAAATCTTGTTTAATTATCCGTGGTGCAACACAGACCTATTTTTAATCTTCTCTGTGAAGAGTCTAATGCAGGGGTCAGCAAAAATTTTCAATAAAGAGCCAGATAATAAATATTTTAGGCTTTGGGGGCCATAAGTTCTCCACTGCAACTACTTAACTCTTGTTGTAGCATGAAGGCAACCATAGACAATATGTAAATGAATGAGCCTGACGATATTCCAATAAAGCTTTATTTACAAAATAAGAAGATGAATCAGATTTAGCCTACAGGCCATAGTTTGATGACTCCTTGTCTAATGCATAATCAGAGTTAAGAATAACTCAGAAGGACCGAAATGGAGGAGTAGAAGGACGTGAGGCTCACCTTCCCCCAACATCAAAAATACATCTACATGTGAGACAATTCTCATAGAAAATCAACTGGAAGCTGTAGAAGATCTCTTATACAACCAAAGCTGCAAGAAAGATCTCCACATAAGCAGGTTGGAAATTTTAAAAAAAAAGAAAGAAAGAAAAAGGCATCAGGATGGAACCAGCACCACTGAGAAGGATCTGTGAAAGTCCACACATAGACCCTTGTCCTGGGGAACCTCTTTTCCTGCTAAGAGGTCAGCTGGGACGGGTGGGGCCTGGACTTTGTTCAAGAGGAGCGTGTGCATGCTGGCTTGCTAGTAATCATGGAGGAGAGAGTGGGGAGCTGACGGCTGCTACCTCACCACACTCCCAAAAGTCTGAAATGCGTGCTGGGCAGGGCCGCTAGTGCTCGGTGGCTAGGCGCTAAGTCTCGGGCAGAAGGGCCCTTGGAGGGGACTCGTTTTAGCTGTGTGGAGACAGCCCAGAAGGCCTGGGGAGTGGTCCATGCCAAATCTCAAAGCCCACTGTCAGCACAGCACACACATGGCAGCCGTGGGTCCGGCATTGCAGCCATGATCAGTGCTCGCACAGGTGGAGGTGGGTCCAGACGTGGCAGACATTGTGGGCTCACACATGAAGGTGGCGGGTCTGGCCTCGAAGCCCATTTTCAGAGCTCACAGGGTAGGGGCAGTTTTTGTCAAGTGGCACCACAGAAATGCACATCTTGGGCGGACAGTCCCTAGGGAGGAGTATACAGCAGTTCATTTCCAGAGGGAGCCCTCTGGTTCCACCCACCGCACACCACAGCTTGGTGCCAGATCTGGGGCACACAGGTCCTGGGAGAGGCCTGCCACAGAGGCAGCCCAGGCCCCAGGAAGCAGCATAACTATCTTGATTCCTGCAGCCACAGCACTTCAGCCCCCAGAACCAGCCCACTCCACACTGCAGCCTAGCACTAGGTCTGGGACAAACACAGTGGAGTAAGGGATGCACACAACCTTGGGCTGCTTCTGAGCAAAACCACGGATGCCTGCATGGACAGCACATAGGTTCCCTGGGCCTCACTTGCTTCACTGGTCACATCCTTTGGGACAGAGCAGGCATTCAAGGGCAACAGAGCCTTATAGAACCTGGATCTCAGGGCTTCTAGTCCAAGAACTGGGGAGCAGACCCCAACCCTGACAGGGCTGTGACAGCCACAGAGTAAAGAGGAGGCCCTGTCCAACACTGCTGTGCAGTCTCTGGACACCACAATGCAAGTCACAGTCTCTGTCAAGGGGCTAAGAGCCAGCACTCTCTGAGGAAAGATGTGGCTGGCATCCAGATCAAAAACAGCCCTTGCCACAAAAATATTGGACCCGTACAGTCTACACAGGGATGCTCCCACATGAAAACAGCCCTTTTACATCACAGTAGATAACAGTTTCTCCTAAATTCATAGAGACAGAGAAAGTTAAGTAAAATGAGACAGCAAAGAAACTACTGCCAGTTGAAAGAAGAGAAATCCTCTGAAAGAACAAATAATGAAGTAGACCTCACCAGTCTACTAGACCCTGAGTTCAAAAGGAGGTAATAAAAATGCTAAAGGAATTTAAAAAGATTATCAGTAGAAATGCAGATCACTGTAACAAGGAACTAGAAACTATAAAGAGGAACCAATAAAAATTAGACAATTACTGAGCTAAAGACCAATCTAGAAGCAATGAATAGCTGACTAGATAACAAAGAAGAACGAATAAGTGATCTGGAAGATAGAATAATGGAAATCACTGAATCAGAACAGCAGACAGAAAGACAAAGGAAAAAAAAAAAAGGCAACATATGAGATCTATGGGATAATAAAAACTGTGGCAACGTACGCATAACAGGGGTTCCAGAAAGAGAAGAGAGAGAAAAGGAGATCGAAAATTTGAAGAAATTATGGCTGAATACTTCCCAAATCTAAAGAAGAAGACAGATTTCAAGGAATAAGAAGCACAGAGGGTCCCAAACAAGATGAACCCAAACAGACCCACACTAAGACATATCTTAATTAAAATGGAAAGAGCTAAAGATAAAGAGAGGATTCTAAAGGCGGCAAGAGAAAAACAAAGAGTCAGTTACAAAGGTACCCCTATAAGGCTTTCAGCTGATTTCTCTGCAGAAACTTTGCAGGCCAGAAGGGAGTGGCATGATACATTCAAAGTCCTGAAAGGAAAAAGACCTGCAACCTAGGATACCCTACCCAACAAGATTATCATTTCAAATAAAAGGAGAGATAAAGAATTTCTCAGACATGCAAAAACTAAAAGAATACAGCAATACCATACCTACCCTAAATAAATATTGAAAGGTCTTCTCTAAATAGAAAAGAAGCAAGAATCTACAGGAAAGGAATAATCACAATAGGAAAGACAAATATATAAAAGGATTGCAGGTCACTTAAATAAGCCATTATATAAAGAAAAAAAATTTTGTAAAAGCAATTATAACTACAATTAATTGCAAAAGGCTAAACATGAAGATGTATAATAGGACATCAAAAACACTGGGGAAGGGAGTAAAAAAATGTAGATCTTTTAGAATGTGTTTGAACTTATATGACTATCAGTCTAAAGCAAGTAGATATAGTTATGGATCAACATACTTGAAAACCAGGGTAACCACAAATCAAACACATACAACAGATTGACAAAAATCAAACAGAAAAGAACTCAAGCATAATACAAAAGAAAACCATCAAACCACAAGAGCAAAAACAAAAACAAGAAGAACTACAAAATCAACTGGAAAACCAGGTTTAAAATGGAAATAAGTACATTGCTTTAAATGTCAATGGACTAAATTCTCTAATCAAA